TTGTCAAATTAGTTATTCTACATGCTCATGGTTTCATGTAAATGCAAAAATCTGAGCTGTTTTGCTGTTGTAGATCTGTACCTCCAGAGCACGTGTAGTGTACAGTGTAATTACAACTGAGGGGGACTTGACGTATGAAATACAGGACAGTAATTTTAACTCGAATGATAATTAAACACCTTAAAAAAGGTCTATTGAGGAAAAAGCACTGTTTTCCTCCCCTCTACCCCATCCTGGTGGAAGCAGGAAATGTGACTATGCTCAAAACTATAGTGAATGGAAACAAGCCACTGTAAAATATATATCAGACTTCTTTAAAGCACGGTGTTAGTGGAAAAGCCTATTGTATTTCAAAATTCTTTTTTTTAACCATGTGTAATTTATGTCTGACAAACGAACACCATGACTGGGGCGAAAAATATAGAAGCACTGTGCTCTGTAACTATCAATTCAAGTGAAAAGGAGACCAGTGGGGGAGGGGCAGGGGCAGGCTGTGATCTCTGTGCCCATACTAATGAGTGATGATAGCAGGGCTACTCAAATAAGTGATTAGAGTGTGTGTGTGTGTGGGGGGGGGTTAAGTATGAATATTCTGTAATTTATTATTAATCTATTTACAAGCTAGATTTGAGACTGTATTATATACAGCTTCTACTCTTAAAAAAAAAAAAAAAAAAAAAATCTAGTAAAATAATTCCATAAAAGAGCATTTTGGTATCACACACCACTACATATGGCATGAAGTACAGCTTTGTAACGTCTGTGAATAATCTTGTTCTTCAGAAGCCTAACATGGCTATTAGCTTACAGCACAGTGTATTTATCCAGTCACTGAAATGTACAAGATAATTTGAGGGGACAATTAACACGTCAGATTGAACCAGTACAGAAAGGCTTTTATTCAGAAAGAGCATAGAAGCTCTCAAGTGTAAACAAACACTTGCTGGAATTCAAGGTTAGCAACAATTGTATATTTGCAGCTCCCTGCATTAATAGTCATAATTTCGTGCAATTATCTTTAAGCAGTTTAAAGAATGAGGGTATTTTAGCTTTCGTAACTTCAGTTCTTCCTGACTTCTATTCATCCTCTATTCTGATCTAGAAAATACTGAAGTACTTGCTCAGAAGTTGCAAGAAGAGGGAAGTAAGTGTGACCAGAAAGAGAATTCTATTTCTTCACCCTAACCATGAGTGAGAGCCTGCTCGTGGGGCAGACCTACAGCAGTGGTTTGACTCTATGCCATCTTTTCCCTGCAGCCAAGTAGCCTAAATAACCAAGCTGTATTCATACTTTCCTGTAGAAATGTGTTTGAAAAGTTGATGTGAGCATACACAATGCTCTCACATCTCTAAAAGGCGAGTTATTAAGGTAAACTATTCTATATCGATATTTATCTATATATATTTTATGGGCTGGAAACAATCACAGATACAAGATAAGATGAAGGTGGAGTGTGCAGTGGAGGAAACAGAAGGATTTTGCATAGCTTAGTTTTATCCTGGGGAGCCTGGCTTCCCTAGGCTCCTCTGTAGATGACAGTGATGACAGGACCTCTTCAAGAACAAGTATTCTGCATCTTAACTGCATTGAAGGGGATCCTTTCTCTCTATTCATTGAATATGTAGAAAAAAACAAGGCCGTTAATCTCCTTAGATTAAAGTAGGACATTGCAAATAATATTGAGCTGCACCTTTAAGTTTCTCAAAAATCAAGTAGTGATCTGTTCTGTGGTATGAGACCATACAAAACAGACTGCTTACCCCTTTAGAGAGCTTTACAAGTGTCTGGAGCTGATTGTTAGGTTATAATATCATTTGTATAGGAAAAGAGAAGGGAATAGTAATATACTTTTTTGTTCTCTAGCAGCTGGAAAATGCTGTCTTGGTGTTTTATAGACATGCTTTTTTTTTCCGGTAATGACTAAATATCTGTGACCAAAGTATTTGTTCTTTCGTCTACAAATTAAAATCAGTATTATGCAAAATCATTTTCCTTGTATGCTTGGATTAGGATTTTGCTTGTATTTGTGCCCGTGAGTTAAAATTAGCATTAAAATAAATCATTTTTACCTGTATGTTTGGGTTAAGGTTGCTCTGACTCGCCTGTTTCCTGATGCAGATCTGCACTGCGTGTGCTGCTCTTTTTTGTAGGATTCTCTTGAGGGTTGTAACAGTTGGTATATAGGCAACAGAAAACTTTAATTAAACTAATGTTTTTATTACAATCTAATGTTATGTAGTTGCTTTGTAACGTACAATATTACAAGGATATTAATTAAGTGAAATCACTTCCATTTTTGTGTAATTTTGAAGAACTACTAAACTGTTTTTCCCCATGAAGGCTTTGTATGCCACAGGGCGGGGAGCAGTTGGCCTTGACTGTAGATTTTTTTTCTAACCAATAAAAACATAATTTAGCCTCGTCTTCATCTAAGTTGACATTCTAATTCCAGCACAAATAACCACAACTGTCACCTGAGCTGGACACTGCTTATTTTCCATTTTAGTACCCATGAGAAATAAAGGGATCCCTTCTTTACTACAATAGTCAGTGGTGTAGCATGGAACAACAATGTGCTAATTAGTTTCCTGGGTTAATTATAACTGGTAATTATGAAACTTGAGGGAGGCTGCAAGGAGGGACTGGCATTGTTAATTTGACCTAGGGGATTCTCTTCCAGAAAGCAGTCTGACATCATGTGGTGTGTCACAGTGTCTGCTAGGCAGTCATCAAATAATGCAGCCTCTGATAGGTTTAAATAAAATAAGTCCAAATTAAATCCCATATTTACATAATAATCGATTAGCCATGTCTTTAGAAGAGCTGCGCTCTAAAATAGTTTTGGAAACAGCTTTCCTGTACCCACAACAGGCCTGATAACGTTTAAACACAAATGAGTCTTAAGCAGTCTTTGTCAGTACTAAGAGAACCAGAACTGAGGCTTTCCAGGGTCATTTAGATCGAATATCCTTCATTTTGCCAGAATAAATTCTTCTATTTTTTGATGATAGCCATGTTCTCTCTCTCGTCTGCAAGCCTACTTTTAAACATAATCCTGTCCTTTTTGTCCCCTTTCCATACTGGCATTGAAAGAAATCTGAGTCTAGGCAAATAAAGTTACCTCTGAGCATTAGAAACAGCTGAACTGGCCACCTGCTTTTGTTCATTTCTGTGTAAAGAGTGGTCTGCTTGTCAGTACTGCTGTGTCCTAAACTATACAGAATGCAGGTTTCATAGAGATCACCAGTGACCAGATTGCTATGTTGGCAATTGCAGTCATAATTTCATCATCTCCACTGACCTGTGAAGACTCACCAGCAGAATAAGCTGTTGCTCTCTGACTACTCGTCTATTTTCCTATATTTTCTTGACTGTGCATTCCATGACTTGCTCGACAGATCTATAACACAGCATGCAAAATCTAGTGGCATGGGCAAAATTTTCCCCTAATATCAATTTCAGATCTGTGCATTTGATGTTTCAACCCCCAGTCCCCACTTCTTTTCTGTAAGTTCAGTGCTGTGAAGTCCAGTGTCCGTCTGCCTTCCAAGAGGACCTGGAAACTTGACAAGAAAATACTCCCAAACCCTTAGTTTTTGTGTTAGGTTGCACACCCCAAGAGATTGTCCATGCATTGACCCTAACTTGCATGCTTACTGTTGCCCAAATGCAGCCTCAATTCATTGTCTTCATCCAAGCTTACATTTGATACTAACTAAACTGAAGAATCAAGAAGTGTATGCAAGTGAACTGAAGTAGTCTAATCTTCTGCTTATGAAAAGAGAAACAATTAAAATGTGAAAAACTAAAATAAGTTTAGAGTACATTGACTTTTTTTTTTTTTTTATTTAAGAAAAGCTGCAGCAGCGAATGCAGTGATGCAAACAAGGAAACTTCAAATCTTTCAGTGCACTGACACTAGTTTTGATTGGGGATGAAATCCAGCTCTTCTCTCATGCAGTTTTGTGTCTGCTTGAGTTTTTTCTTTCTCTCTTTATTTGAATATGTGTCATCTTTTGTCTTTATCCACCTTTAATCTTTTCTCTCTCTTTTTTGATAAAATGAGGAGTCCCTGACCTCTGCTCCGGGGACTCCTGAAGTTGTACCTCAATCATTTAGTAACTGGCATAAACCTCCCTGCCTGGATGCCTCCCATGGTGGCCACAAAGCTCTATAAAAGATTGAAAACAAAGGAACAACAAAGCAAGCCCACCTGAATTTTTGAAGATGCGGGCACAGTCATTCTTTCATTCATTCAGCTTTCATGCACTCTGACACTGAATCTTAGTCAAACTGATCTCACCTTTTTCTTTAGAATTTGATGGAGTTAAAAAAAAAAAAAAATCATCATTCTGTGGCAAGATATGAAAAAAATTAGTGTTTCTATTCTTGTTATAGTTATTTCTCTTCATATTGCATATTTTGGAAAGAAAATACATTGTGTGTGTAAAATGTGTAGCTGTAACTGGAATGTGTGGTAGGGAGATGGTAAATTTCTTGATAGTTTATATTCTCAGCCTGTATTAATGGCCAAGCAAATATACTGCTTGCCTTCCTCTCATCCACAATTTCTGACTCAAGATGAGTGCTTTCTGTTGAAGCAGTGATTATTTGTCACTTCTGGAGGTAAATATGATGTAGCAGCCTTTTGGCCAGAAGAGTCTTATTAGCAACATATATGATTATAACAGTTTGGGAAAGGAGGTTATACTACAGGGTTTTTTTTTTCTAGTTTTATTTTTAATAATTTGTGTTTGCTCACAAAGAGAGCTCTTGATGGTTTAAAATAGAAATGCACTTCAAGGGCTATCAGGAGAGGAAGCAAGGTAGAACTTAGGCAAAAAAAATGTTGGCAAGAGTCAGTTTGCCTGAGCTATTTGAACTGAGTTTTGGTTTGCTGGTATTCCCTGTGAATGTTTACCTATGTACTTTAAATCTGTGTTAATTTTTTTCTCAGCTGCTTTACTTAATCAAGGGTTTGTCTCCCTTTCCTCCATAGAACTGTGTTTCTTGACTGTCCTGGGGAGCTATGCAGCCTTCAGTGAAGAACAGGGAACAGAAGCTGCTTGGGGAATTCTTTGACTGGCAAACACCTGCTGCTGCGGAGAGTATCTCAAATGTACACCACTCACAAACCTCAGGATAAAATCAAATGGGATTCTGGAGGTAAGATTTGGGAAAATCGGGATCCTATATAAAAAATAATAGAATCCTAACTTGCCTGTTAGAGAAGCCCTGCTTCTTTCTTGGCGTAGGGAAAAGACTTAATACTGGGCCGACATGGCTAGGCTTTCTGAGTTGAGTATTCCACAAGCTATAGCTGGTTTCCTAGTAATTTTCCTAAAGAATTTGGATAAATTATTAGAAGAACATCTGTGGTTATCACTTCAAGATCAGGTTTCAATGATCTTCAATTTTTCAATGATCTTTTCTAGATTAATACCTATTGTTTTATTTTGTTCATATTAGAACCAAATAAATACAAAGTTATGTTGCTTTCTTATAAAACCAGAGTTTTAGCAGATTTAATGTAGTCTTGCTGTGAAATGTTTGCTGCTCTTAGTGTGCTGTTTTGAGGACGTTCTGTGTTTAAGTGTTGTAGAAATCTGACAAATTGAAATGAGGCTTAATAAGAACTTGATTGTCTCAACTCTTGTGAACGACAAATATTTTTAAGCACAGGCAAGAGTACTGAAACTTCATTACTTGCAGTAGCTGCTCTACCTTTTGCGTGGGTACTACTGCATGGCTGCTGTTTTTTTTTTAAACTAGATCAAGAGATTTTAGAGTTTATCTAGTCTATTTCTGCCTTGCTTCAGAGCTTAGGTTTTTCTACCCTTATCTGTCTTGCTGAAATAGTACGTGTTAAATCCCTCTTTGCTCTCTGTGAGCATTTTGCTACCTACAGGACAATTATTAGTATGGGGCTTGTGGAAAGCAAGTTGTTCTGCCATAAAAAAAAACAAAACACCCTGTATGTATTGTTGTGTTCCTTTCCAGTATCTTTGTTTTGAATTATATAAAATCATCTGAGAATGTGTAGAAGGCAGACTTCACGTCTTCTCCTACTTAGTTGAGCTTCCCAGTTCAATATATTTAAAAGCTAGCACAAAAAAATGTATCTTACACTTTAGGAGAGCTGAATGTAGATGCCAGAAAACACAGTCTTTCCCTTAAAGAATGGATTGATGTTTGTTCCAATAAGGTGCCTGTCTGCTTGCACACGTTGTTTATTGTATCAGTGTCAGAAGCACGGTGATTAGGCTTCCCATCTGGTAGCATGATATTGAGTTGCTGCTGGTTCAGACAATTTCTTGTTCAAGTTGGATCAATGTTCATGTGTCAGCTGGTCATCAGCAACTTTCACAAACAAGGACAAATACATAATGTTGGACCTTTACAAATAATTCCTCTGCTTTTTTTTCTGTAGAGTATCTGATTTAGAAATACACAAAAAATCACGTGCATGAAGAAGTGTACACTCTACTGCATTCTAAATCTAAATTATTTACTCATTTTAATCCCACTGAAAGTGCTGTACAGCACAGTCCCTGTTGTGCTGTTAGCTCGAGCAGAAGTCATACTTGGACTCAAATCACAGTGTTTGAATAAAGGCATATCCTCTATAACATCCTGAGCAAGATGGGGAAATGGATTTTAGCAACTGATCTGCTCTCAAACACAGATGCTAGAGATTTTTTTTTAATCTTCTTTGTCTTTGGGCTTTGTTGCCTGAGTGGATCTGCAGGTATTAGACTGTGGATCTGTTCTCTCCCCACTTTTGATAGCTTCCAGTAGCCACGGCCTTACCACGCAAGTTTAAGCTCACAAGTAGCTTATGCCAAGGACTCTGGAAAATATCAGTGGCTCTGATAAGTCTTAACTGCTACTGATAAATCATTAATGGCGATTTTTAGTAGATCAGAGTTGCTCTTTAATATTCAACAGTTGTCTTTTAAATACACACTTTGATGGATAGCAAATCTGTTAGGCATATCCAGGTTGAAAATTGTCAAGGCTGTATACATACAGATCTGGCCAGCCTTCCACAATTCCTAATTTGGCAGCATTTTGCTAGACATTCATTCTGTATGGAGCCTCTGTTTATTATAGAGTCAATAGTCCATAGCAGCAAGGAAGGTAATAAAACTGAGAATTTGATGCAAAATCTAAGTTGAAAGTCTCTTCTGTAGAACAATTCAGATACTACTGAGTTTTTAGTTTTTTTTGTTTGTTTGTTTGTTTGTTTTTTGTAGACTGAGTAGGATGGCAGCATCAAGTGCAGGAATAAAATAGTCTTTGTTTTTTAGTGGAGTGTATTGTGTGTATTATTTAAAGTGGAGTGTAATTTCACTGTCAAGAATTGTAGTAGTACAAATATTTTTTTCTTTTTTGGTAGAATCTGTTGTTTAATGCCAAAAGAGTGCATTGCTGGAAAACTTTTGGCAGTTAGGTAAACACTGGCAAACAGAAGAGAGTCTAATGAGATTTTGCAGTATGTTTAATGACATTTAGAGGAATAGAAATCTCTAGACTGAAGAGAGTTGATGTATTTATGAACAGTAGGCCATAGGTTTTTCATTTCCCATTTGAAAACTTCAGATTATACTGAAAGCAAAATGAAGACATGTCAGGGGAATGCCAGATTCAGAAAATTAGTGATTATCTGGTTGCGTTCAAGTTGTAGCTTTCTTTTCCATGTACTGCATAATAGGATAGTGAGTGTGTTTGTGTTATTTCTGTGTTTAATTTTCAAACTGACCAAGCTGTAACCTGCAAATGAAGCAAAAAGCCTGCTGTGTCTCAGGTCAGACACGGGTGGTGAGCTCACAGTTCTCTTCCTGAGTCCTTAAGTCTGGGCTCTGTGGTATAGTGTACAGTCATCAGTGGAAAATCAGATAGTGACTGCAGTGGGAGCAGAATGAAGACTTTTGAGGGAACACTGACTTCTAGTAAAGAATAACAATCTTAAGAAAATAAGTTTTGTGCCTTATGTTAGTAATTGAAAAGTTTTAGAATTTACAAACAGTCCTTGTTTACTATGTTTGGTATGGAACTGCATCTGTGTCTGCTCTGCACAGCTAATCACAAGTTTGTTACTCTGGATATCCACAGTTATCTCCCCAGATTTTAGGGGGAAAAAAAGGCCAAGAATGAATTTTAAATGAAGCTCAATTTAAATGCAGGAATTCTTCGAACGTAAGAACAGCTCCATTGTGGAAGTGACTGAGAGTAAAATGGAGCTATTGTCTGAGGCAGTAATTCATGTTCTCGTGGCTTTGGGATAGCAGGAGATAATAATCAGGAATTTTATTATCAGAGACTGATGTCAGAAGCAAAATTTTTGATATACATTTATACTATTGTTTCTAGTTATGAATGTTGACTTTCGTAAGTCTGCAGCTAGTGAGGATATTTGTGTTTTTGAAAGTTCTTTGAAAGCATTTTAAAAATGTGCCTGCAAAACATATTTTTAGCAGAATGCCATGAAGCATTTAATGTAGCAGTAATGTAACAATACAGAATGTGAAACATTTTAAGTGGAAGAAAGCAAAAAGTAATTACTGCTACGTAATTCCCATTCTATTAAAACTGATATGGGTAGGGGAAAGGGCTCGATATTAATTACAAGGGGAAAAATACTTCAGATTGAAGGAAGGGGGGACAAGCAAGGGTTAGCAGTTTTTCTTTCTTATATACTTCAGTTCATTTTTTCTTCCCTGAATGATATCTTAGTTGAAGTGAGCCTCTTTGCAGGAAAATCTTTGTCGTTTGTATCTGACCAGTCATTGACTTGGAATAAAATACAGGTGCATTAATGTTAATGGGATTTTTACCCACATAATACAATAGACCAAAAGTTTTAGCCTGTGTATTGAAATACATTATAATGTATCTTCTGGGACAGTGAGCAGACATCTGAAACATGATGTAAATTTGCACCAATTTATGGGATTTTAACAGACCTTGGTGTTTCTAACTACTGCTCTGTGAATGCATGCAAAAGTGGCAAATGAATATTGGATGAATTCAATCACTAGGGTATTCATGGAATATAAATTACTTCAATGTTTGTAGCTATGGTGAAGTTTAGACAAATACTAGAGAATATTTATGAAACCAACTTTTGGGCTTATCGTGTCTGTTCCCATAAAAAAGGATCTCTGAGTCATGTATACCTTTTTCACTTCATTACCATTTTGTGTATTTTTCTGTATAATTCAATTAACTAAGTTACTAATGTACTAAATGTTGAAGTAACTAAGTTAATACAATCAGTATTGAAACTACTATTATGTTCATAGGACAACTCATGCTGGGAAGAGCCTCAGTTTGATTACCAGCCCAGGCAGGGTCATTCTTTTATCACTAATGGAGTTATAGAACTTTCTCTTTAAGTCTCAACTCCAGCTAAGCTTTGAACTTCCTATTGCTTCCCCAATGTGCCTAAACAGTATTACTAAATTAATTCTTTGCATCTCAAGAAAAATGTGTGAATTTAAATTCTAGAAGTGAAACTGCCTTTAGAAATATTTGAGCAGCCTAAACACTACAGATATGTATATAAAAGTTACAAACATGGCACAAAAGCAGACACCCATCTCTTCTCATATTCCCTTTATAGTCTCCATTTGAATGTTTTCTGCACTTCTTCTGCATGTGCTACGCTTAACATTTGCATGATGAAACTTAAATCTTGTATTTTCATATAATAGATGACCAGCTTTGTGGTACAGTATTTCTTGTACACTTGCATGTATCTGGTGATTCAGCAAATTACTTCTGTCAATGGAAACTGTTAAATTTGAGTCTGTTAAGTTGATTGCCCTCTGTGCCTTATCCTTCCTACCCTTCCAACACTTAAAGTAAGTCAATCTGTTTTTTAAGGTGATCAGTTACTGCAAAAGGAGGGAGTTGGCAGCTGATAGGGAGGGTAGCTGAAGGAATGATGAAATTATGCTGTGAGCAATTACATAACAGTTATGAGTCACTGCATTTTCTTTTTTTCTTGTCCTGATTATTTGTCTTCAGGTTTTTGATCTTTAGATATGTCCTGTGCCTCCACTTGTGGAAGCGATACTGTTCTTAGCCTGAAATTGGGATTATATGTTCAGAAGCTCCTACTGGCTGTAGCTCTCAGCAAGCTCAATGGCTTCTTTATGAGT